TTGTTCTTCTTGTTCTTCTTGTTCTGTCTTGTTCTTCAAACACTCTTGTTCTTGTTGTTCTTCTTGTTCTGTCTTGTTTAATAAAACAGAACTTGCTACTAATATAGCAATATTATAGCAATTCTTATAGCAATTCTTATAGCAATTCTAATATCAATTCTTATAGCAAATCTTCTAGCAATCTCTTCTTATAGCAGCAATTCACAAATTCAGCTCCATTCCCGGCGATCACTTTGTGCAATCTGAACCCGTACAGAGACAGTTTGATCGGCGACGTGGAAGCAGTTCGGAAAATTGTTCGTTTATCTAGTTATCTATCTAATGTTTAAATATCTAGCAAATTCTAGAGATCTAGATATTCTATTTCAATGAAATCATAGCATTTCCTCACTTTCAGCTAAATGTCTACAATCGAGTGATGAAAGAGGCTGGGGTGCAGAATCTCGATCAACACAACATCGCACTAACAGGTTGTAAGTGGCGTAAATTGGCTTTGGCTTTTGGCTAGTGGCTAGTGGCTAGTGGCAGCCTTGGCTTTACTTAGGTATAGCCAAGGCTTTCAACAGCTTTTCTTTCTCTATCCAACATCTAGAGAATGTCTAGCTTAGCTGTCTAGCTGGTCTAGCTGGTCTAGCTGGTCTAGCTGGTCTAGCTGGTCTAGCTGGTCTAGCTGGTCTAGCTGGTCTAGCTGGTCTAGCTGGTCTAGCTGGTCTAGCTGGTCTAGCTAGCTGGTCTAGCTGGTTTTGAGTGGCCTAAAACTGACCTGACCTAAAGATTTGTCTCCAGCACCAACCCTACTCTTTACAATAATCTTTAAACAGTAAAAAGCTAGGATTTTAGACTAACGACACTGAATTTTAATTAATTAAAATACTAGAATCATAGCTTGCCTTAAAATTAAAATACTAGATCCATAGCTTGTCTTACTAAGCTAAAAGCTAAGCTTAGCTAAGCGTAGCTAAGGGTAGCTAAGGGTAGCTAAGCGTAGCTAAGCTTAGCGAAAAGTTTGTCAGTCTTGAACAAGCCTTGAGTATAGGATGTTATATAGATGTGTTGGATATCAAAAAAATAAACAAAAATGTGTCTCCAGAGCCAGCGAAACGTTCACGACGTCGTCGAGATGGCACTACGGTATTTGAGCCGGTTGGTCTAATAAAAGCTAGAGATTTTTACTGTTTTAAAGTTGGAGGCTGAATTAGAGCCGATTCTCACTAAAAAGCTAAGCTTAGCTAAAAGTCACTAAAGCTAAATTATCGAAAAATGGATGAAGAAAAATGGATGTACCTTTTTTCTTATACTTTCTAAATACATCTAAAAGTTTGAATGAACTCAATAAAATCGATTTTCAATCAAAAAGGTACAAAAAAGTTTATTGATTTTAAAGAAGAGAACGATTCTCAATGAAACGAAATTACTAAAGAAAAGATGAACAATTTAAAAAGGATTTGAGTTTATATGCAAGTGAAAGGCTAACAGGCTAACACTGGCTCTAGGGCCGAAGAATAGACCATTCCAGACAAGAATAGACCATTCTAGACAAGCTCAGACCATTCCAGACAAGAATAGACCATTCTAGACAAGCTCAGACCATTCTAGACAAGAACAGACCATTCCAGACAAGAATAGACCATTCTAGACAAGAACAGACCATTCTAGACAAGAACAGACCATTCCAGACAAGAACAGACCATTCCAGACAAGAACAGACCATTCCAGACAAGCTCAGACCATTCTAGACAAGAACAGACCATTCCAGACAAGAATAGACCATTCTAGACAAGAATAGACCATTCTAGACAAGAACAGACCATTCTAGACAAGAACAGACCATTCCAGACAAGAACAGACCATTCCAGACAAGAATAGACCATTCTAGACAAGCTCAGACCATTCTAGACAAGAACAGACCATTCCAGACAAGAACAGACCATTCCAGACAAGCTCAGACCATTCTAGACAAGAACAGACCATTCCAGACAAGAATAGACCATTCTAGACAAGAATAGACCATTCTAGACAAGAACAGACCATTCTAGACAAAACAGACCATTCCAGACAAGCTTAGACCATTCCAGACAAGAATAGACCATTCCAGACAAGCTCAGACCATTCCAGACAAGCTCAGACCATTCTAGACAAGAACAGACCATTCCAGACAAGAATAGACCATTCTAGACAAGAACAGACTATTCTAGACAAGCAGAGCTTAGCTTTAGTCATCACTTAGAGATTCTAGGTCAGATCACACCAAGCCAGGTCATATACTAGAACAAAAATAAGACTTAGAAGCTAGATTTAGAAGCTAGATTTAGCACTCACTAGATTTAGAAGCATTTCCCTTTTCACTACAGTTAAGGAAGCTGAAAGAAATTGCGGCTCAAATCAAGAGTTCGATTTCTGCGCAACGCTAAACCCCCATTAAAAATTTGAGGAGTTAGATTGGAAACTTTTGCCTCACGTACTCCCCTGACCTTGCACCATCAGATTATTTTTTTTTGTTTCGGACGTTGAAACACTTCTTGGAAGATATACAGTTTGATAATCATGCTCAAGTCATAAAGAAGTCATAAAGAAGTCATAAAGAAGTCATAAAGAACGATTTCATCTCAGATCTTGGCTTAAGCCAAGCCTGTAAAGCCAGAGCTAGACCTGGCTTTGTCTGGCTTTAGTCCTAGCTATTCTTAGCTAAAATTTCAATTCAAAAACCAACCCTCAAAACCAACCCTCAAAATTAACCCTCAAAACCCTAGGCACTTTCCGTTTGCGAATGCGAATGGACAACGAACGAGGGGCTCCAATGTACACCAAACGTTACCGCTCATTCCGACGAGATTCACAAGCATAAACGGTATTGAAAATATCAATTTGCATCTAAAAATCTAGAAAAATCATTAAAACCCGAGCTTTAGCCCAGGTGCCGAGATGTGCAAGTGTGCTTTCGATCGAGAGAGCGACGATGCATGGCCGTGCTATCCTGAGGTAAAAAAAGTCTCCAGCTTCTTTAATCTTTAACTAATCTTTAACTGTACATCTATTTAATTTTATGACCTATATCCAAATATTTCTAGAATCGTTGGATCCAAGAGAGATGCTCGTGCGATGCTCACGGATTGTGTCAAGTAAGAGAAAGGGTTTAACGGCAAAGAATGGGTTAACGGCAAAGAACGGTTTAACGCCAGAATGGGTTAAAAACGTGTTCCTTGTAACAAGTTTTTAGCGCATTCTTTGTCAATTCAATATTTGACAATAAAAAAACTCATATATTAGGTTGGCAACTTAATAATGACGCGTCACTACTTAACATGTTTTTTGTAATTTCAAGCACCGTTTCTTCCCTCTTTTTGCATATATACAAAGTAAAAGATGTCTGCATAAATAGCATTTAGTGCTACAAATTTCACCATTCGCTTTTTGGCAAAAAATGGAGGACAAAAAATTCCGTATTCGAGCTGTATTGTTCTACGATTTTAAACAAGGAAAATCTCCAGCTGAATCTTATCGCACGATCATCACTGTTTTGGAGAGGAAAGTATGCACATTCGGCAATGTCAACGATGGTTTCAAAGATTCCAAGGCGGCGATGGAAGCCTCGTAGACGAGCCACACCAAGGACATCCTCCAGAAGTGGTCGACGATGACTTGCTCGCCTTAATTGAAGATTGCCCAACACTCACCGTTCGTGAGTTGGCTGAAATATTTTAAGTATCCCATACGACAATCGAAAACTATTTACACATTGGGAAAAAGAATCGTGTTGGAAAATGAGTTCCTCACGAATTGACCCAAAGCAACAAAATGGCCCGTGTCAATGTCGCCTCAATTTTGCTACAAAAATGTAAATCGAACGACTTTTTTCACTTCTGACGAAACGTGGATCAACTACGAGAACGTTAAACGCAAAAATCAATGGCTATCTGCTGGGCAGACCCCTCAAACTACTCCCAAACCTGATATCCATGGGAAGAAGATAATGCTCTGTTGCTGGTGGAACTTCAAGGGATTGGTGCATTATGAAGTGCTAAACCTGGCCAAATCGTCGATGCTGATCTTTATTCGAAGCAATTAATGAGAGTTAACGAGTCTTTGAAGAAATTGGGGCTCAAACCGGAGAGAGTCAGATTTTTACGCGAGAACCCAAAATCTCACACTGCAAAGATCACTTATAAGAAAATCGTGGAACTTGGCTGGAAAGTTTTGCCCCACGCGTCTTATTCACCTGATCTGGCTCCTTCAGATTACTTTTTGTTTCGGTCGCTGAAGCACTTTTTGAAGGGAGAAAAGTTCGATGATCATGCTCGGATCATAAAAGCAGTGAATGACTACTTCACCTCAAAAACTCCCAAGTTCTTCGAGGATGAGATCCGGGATTTGCGCAGAAGATGGGAAGAAGTCATAGATACTAATGGAGAATACCTTTTGAATTGAAGGCTCTTCTTTTGTGTTTTTTTAAAATAAATGATTTGTTACATAAACGCGTCATTATTAAGTTGCCAACCTAATAGCTGGCTAGCTACTGAAAATAAACCTAAGACATCAAGAGTCGGAGTTTGACGACTCTTCTCTTTCCCTCCATATCTCAACTTTCAATTGACCGATCAACTTGTGGTTGGTTTTAAAATATTCTTTATGAAATTTCGTTATAGAAATCCACAACTTACTTCCTTATTTAATATAAAAACATCGAGAAAATCTCAGTCAAAGTGAGACTACCTATCTGAAAGGGTCGATCCACTTAAAAGGTCTATAACTTAAGATGTAAAAGTTGAATCAACTCACGGTCATTTTTATTAGAATCTACATTAAATTTGATTAAAGAAATATAGAAGCTGTTTTGTAGACTTACTGATAAAAACATTTTAAAAAATTAGTGTTAAATTGATCTACTTATTGAAGCTTCTCAAAACTGGGTTTAAAGCGTCAGACTAGGCAAGGGTAGAGGCTGACTTCTGTGTCAGTGACTTTTTATGGATTCAGTCTGCAGTCAATTCAATTAAGTCAATTCATTCAGTAAAATCAAGCCAGTTCCAGACCTCAATGTCATTGATGTGCCAAGCTTTTAGTAAAGTTAGAATAGGCAAAAAAAAGACTAAATATTAGTCTAAATATTAATCTAAATATTAATCTAAATATTAGTGGATCCCTTTTTGATATCCCGCCATCTCTAACACACTCTCTAACAACTCTAACCCAACTCAACTCCTCCAACGTATTAGAGGGGAGTCCCTGTGAAATGACCGACCTGTACTGCAGTTGCATAGACCCGGAAGATAAGTATCTTTATTTACAGTAATACAATAAGATGAATAGATTAGAAATGAGCGTAAGGGGAAGGGGGGACTCCAAAATAAGAGTCTCTTGTCCCACTTGAGTCCACTTGTCCTCCTAGGCAATCCCAAGGACCGCCCCTTCTCGGCAATAAAAGGGATAAGCACAGGAGAGAACACATTTGCATAAGAATAGACAAATCATTCAATAATAACAATAGTAACTCAAATATCAGTTTGGCTCGGAGCTGACATTAATCTAAAAATATTAATCTAAATATTAGACCAGAAAATCTTTTCGTTCCTTTTCGTACTTCTTGAAGAAAAGCTTGCCTAATTTTTTTTTCCAGAAACAACACAAATCGGCTTTCAACGCTAAATTCGATTGCGCTTGTCAGACACCGGAAACAGTCACTTCAGCCGAAAGTCGTCAATTTTGTGTGAAAACAGATTTGGTGAGAGAATTGGCTTTTGGCTTTGGCTCTTAGCTCATCGGCTCATCGAGCTCATCGGCTCATCGGCTCATCGGCTCATCGGCTCATCGGCTCATCGGCTCATCGGCTCATCGGCTCATCGGCTCATCGGCTCATCGGCTCATCGGCTCATCGGCTCATCGGCTCATCGGCTCATCGGCTCATCGGCTCATCGGGCTCATCGGCTCATCGGCTCATCGGCTCATCGGCTCATCGGCTCATCGGCTCATCGGCTCATCGGCTCATCGGCTCATCGGCTCATCGGCTCATCGGCTCATCGAGCTCATCGGCTCATCGAGCTCATCGGCTCATCGAGCTCATCGGCTCATCGGATTTTCTCTAAATAGCCTAAAGATTTTCTTCAGAAACTCGACGTGTTGAAGCTTTGGGAATATTATGGGACAATTTTGGATGAAGATCCGAGAATGATTGAAGCACTTGGGTTTCAGGTAAGAAAAAAAAGCCATAGGAAAATACTGTAAACTCTCTAAAAGAGCTATTTCGTCACCTAGCTACAGTACCTCAAATTCTCAAAAGCAAGATACGATAAAAACTCTAATAGAACAGCCCTCTATATGAGCGTTGTGTTGTCTAAGTTAGTCTCAAATAAACGCTCATATCTTGACTGGTGTACGCTTGTTTCTATGTGTTTAGATATCAAATTAAAGTAGAGAGAATGGGTGATTTTTTGAGATATAACACTTATTTTTAGCATCAACCAGTGCTTAGAAAAAAATGGCTGAAAAATAGCAAAAAAAAAAGCCGATTTTTCATTATTTTCATCGGCACCCCCTTAAAATACGAAAAACGCAGGTCGATGAGCGATCGATAATAGCCGAGTGGTTAGGGCGCTGGTACGGAGTTCTAGAGGTCAACGGTTCGAGTCCGGCGCCGGTCAAACATTATGCTTTTCTATCTAAAAAGCTTTAATGTAATTAAATTAAATAAAATTAACCTTTTTTTATCAAAAATGGAGGCAAATTTGAGCAATTTTCAGTTTTTTGATTTCAGATTTGAGGAAATTTCAAATTTCATTAAATTTCAGAATATGACCGATGAAGTGGCCATTGTGACAAAAGCTAAAGAAAATATTATTTTCGCGATGAGTGAATTGAACGAAAAAACGAGACAGGTAGAAGAAAATAGGTGAAATTTCGAATCCTTTACGAATCTTTTTTTCAAATTTTACTAGCCAGTTTACTTTGGACTCAAAACCTTTAAATGCACCCTTTCTACTGTATTGGATCATCATTTTCATCGATTCATCGATTCATCGATGCTTTGCCTTTTAGGAGAAAATTTGAAGAATGCATCCAGTTGTCGGTTCCTATTTTGATCTAATACGGTTCCAATACGGTTTCAATACGGTTCCAATTGGTAAACAGGAAAGGTGTCCTGTCGCTCCATGATAAGGGGCGACCACATGTCTCTTTACAGACTCGACAAAAAATCCAGAGTGTTGGATGGGAGGTTTTACCACATCCACCTTATAGTCCAGACCTTTCTCCATCTGATTATTATTTATTTTTGTCTCTGTCTAACTTTTTCGTAAATAAATTTTGCCAATACGGTTCTTTTGTTTGATCTAATACGGTTCCAATGCGGTTCCAATGCGGTTCCAATACGGTTCCAATATGGTTCCAATATGGTTCAAATATGGTTCCTTTTAAGGTCCGAATACGGTTCCAATACGGTTCCAATACGGTTCCAATACGGTTCCAATATGGTTCCTTTTAAGGTCCGAATACGGTTCCAATACGGTTCCAATACGGTTCCAATACGGTTCCAATATGGTTCCAATACAATTCCAATACGGTTCCAATATGGTTTCAATACAATTCCAATACGGTTCCTATTTTGATCTAATACGGTTCCAATACAATTCCAATACGATTCCAATACAATTCCAATACAATTCCAATACAATTCCAATACGATTCCAATACGGTTCCTATTTTGATCTAATACGGTTCCAGTGCACTGGAAAGGGTGCATTTACAGATTTCAAGCACAAGCGAATTCAATTCGAATTCAATTCTTGTGCTCAATTCAACACAAATTCCCTTTCTTTATTTGTTTTCCAGACGCTCAGCATGCAAAAGCATCAACTCATCCACAAATGCTCGTTTAACGGTCAATCCTGTGACATTGATCAGTGAGAAAATTTGAAATTTTATTTGAAAGAAATTGATGAAATTGATGACTAAAATTCGAAATTCAGTGACTTCAAGCTAGTCTCCGATCCAACATACGGCAATTGTTTCATTTTCAATCACGAGCGTAACTTCTCGAGATCGAGTATACGAGCGGGTCCGAGTTACGGTAGATTTTAAGAATTTTATTAGTTAGTTATTAGTTATTTTGACGTTCACGTTGACGTAGTTGACGGTAAACGCAATTCGAGCAACGAGAGCTCAACAAAAGCTCAACAAAGCTCAACAAAAGCTCAACAAAAGCTCAAAAAAGCTCAACAAAGCTCAACCAAGCTCAAGAAAGCTCAAAAAAGCTCAAGAAAGCTCAAAAAAGCTCAACAAAGCTCAACAAAGCTCAACAAAGCTCAAAAAAGCTCAACAAAGCTCAACAAAGCTCAACAAAGCTCAAAAAAGCTCAACAAAGCTCAACAAAGCTCAACAAAAGCTCAACAAGGCTCAAAAAAGCCCACCAAAGCTCAACAAAGCTCAACAAAAGCTCAAAAAAGCTCAAAAAAGCTCAACAAAGCTCAACAAACAGAACTACATCAAATTTTTCATAGCCATTGATTTTCTAAGCCTTTACTGTGTTCGTGTACGTAGTACTGTAATAGCTGTAGTGCTTGTTGCAGTGGCTATTGTTCCTACAGTACTTTGTATTAGGTTGGCGAGAAAATAATGAGTTCTTTTTTGATTTCAAAAAACAATAACTAAAGAGGATTAATATAAAAGGTATTCTCCATTATTATTTATGATATCATGCCATCTTTTTACTCAATTCAATAATTCGATCTTCACTGGCTTCTTCTGGTAGACATTGACACTACAAACTACAAACGGGAACTCCAAACGGGAACTATAAACGCTTGTAGCTTGCTATAAATCTGTCTGATTGAGAAGAGCTATAGCTCAAAAAATCGAGAATTTCAAGAGCTTTTAAATGAACTAAAGCATATCAAAAACTAGCAATTCTAAAAAAAGTTACAGTGGTTTGTGCGCCTTGCGTACGGTCCGTCTGGCTTTTAACTACTGTAACTTTTTTTAGAATTGTTACTTTTTGGTGTGCTTTAGTTCATTTAAAAGTTCTTGAAATTCTCTATCTTTTGAGCTATAGCTTGTCTCAATCAGATAGATTTAAAGCAAGTTACAAGCGTTTATAGGGTAACAGTTCTTTTTTTAGTTTATAGTGTCCAGTGTCTAGAATTTGGCTCTTGTCAAGTGTCTAGTTTCGAGTTTCAGTTTCAGATAGCTTCAAAAAACTGCTAGACTTGAAAAATATCAAACTTTCCAAAGTTCTCCAAAACAAAAAAAAACAATCGCAGGTCTTCGCGTTTTGATGTTCGTTAATGCATCCGACTATTTGCCGACAACGGAAGCCGTCGGAATCCGAATGACCATTCATGACAAGGACGAATTCCCGTTTCCAGTGAGGCAATTTCAATGTCATTTCGCGCTTAAGATCACCGTATCCTACCGTATCTTAAGACTACCGTATCCCTAGAATACTTTATGTATCCAATCATCATCTCAAAGGCTCCAAAATCAGTTATCATTCATTTGCTATGCGCCCCTCCACTTTTGCCATTGTCAATCTAACTTTGAACTTAAATATCTCGATGTAGAGCTGTCCAATTCCAATCTTCTTTGTATCATTAGATGCTCCAAGTCTTTCTCTATCGATTGGTAGAAAAACTATTTCAATTTTACAGCTAAACACCGAGATATTTAAGTTCAAAGTTGGATTGCCAATGGCAAGAGGGGCGGGGCGTACTGTATCATAGACTACCGTATCCCTAGAATACTTTATGTATCCAATCATCATCTCAAAGGCTCCAGAATCAGTTATCATTCATTTCCTATGCGCCCCTCCCCTTTTCCCATTGTCAATCTAACTTTGAACTTCAATATCTTGGTGTAGAGCTGTCTAATTCCAATCTTCTTAGTATCATTAGATGCGCCAAATCTTTCTCTATCGATTGGTAGAAAAACTATTTAAATTGGATAGCTCAACACCGAGATATTTAAGTTCAAAGTTGGATTGCCAAGGCTTTTATCAAATGTTTCACAATTGTTCCACAATTTTCAAATTCTAGGACACTTTCGGTTACAGTGCGCCAACCGGCTACATTTCGTCTTTTGGGATGAAAATGGTTTGCTTTTGAGAGTTTATCTTTCGAATATCTTTTGATAAGCCTCTATCAAAAAAAATTCTAGCTTTATTCCCTTTTACAGCAAAAGATGTCTCGTTTACCGGCTCCCTACGGCGATTGTGTGCCAGACGGGCGAACGACCAATTACATTTACACAGAACACGTTTACTCAACAGAGGTTAGGCATGAACGTTAAAAATTACCGGGTACGGCGGCTGCGCAAAGATTTAGGCTTTAGAAAATAGGCTTTAGGAATCGTTTTCTATCTGGGTTACGGTAGAAAGTGGATTACAATGAAAAATGCTAGCAGATTCAGCGTTATCTCTCATTTCTATTTGCCACTAACTTGAGCTGTTATAAGTATTACGATAGCTTATCAAACCATATGCAAATTTATTCACAATCTTTCCAGGGTTGCTATCGTACCTGTTTTCAAGAGATGGTTGTAAGAGAGTGTGGTTGCGGTGACCCCCGGTTTCCCGTTCTTGGCCAGGCAATCCATTGTCAAGTGTTCAACCCGGAGCAAAGTAATAAAAAGAATTCATTAATTTCTCAAAAAAACTGCTTCCTAGGACGGTGTCTAGAGGCAAGAACCCGAGAACTCGGTCAAGTTCACTCGTCTTTCCGGTGTCGATGTCAACAACCGTGCGAGCAATCCGTATATACAGGTTGGTCACAAAAATTGAGTGATGAGTAAAAAAGCGTTGAAACATCTTCATTCTCAAAAAAAGTACAGAGTCGTTTATTCCCCAAAAGTTCAATTTTCTTGAGTTTCCTGGGTTTTTGGGCATCCATTTGAGTCCTTCGTTTTCGGATATCCGTCTGAATCCTTCGTTTTCGGGTATCCAGTTTTTCGCGGGTAGTCGCCTGATGTCACTTCCGGATATTCCACTCGTCTTGGATAACTAGAAAAAACAGTTACTTTTGAGATAAAGAAAAATACAACTTAAGCCATTTAAAAATATCAAGAAATACGAATCATAATCATTGCTAGGAATTGGCATAACTTTTTCTTTTTATTCTTAGAATAAAAAACAAGTCATAAACCAACTTTGGGTCTTTTGCATCCGGTGAACCGAGTTCTCCATGCTTATCCTAAATTAAAAATCATAATCATTGCGCTACGAGCGTATACTAACTAAATCCACAAGTAGAAAATCCATATTATATCACAAGCTAAATACGCAACTCAAATAAAGCCCATACCGCTTTCGCCTCAGCCGTACTCTCAAAGTGATTCATGATGTGCGTGACGAAAGTCGGCGTCATCCGCAAAGCCATTATAGTGAGGAAGACGGACGAGAAAATTCCCCAAACTAAACAAAACAGTATATTAAGTAAATTGTGACAAAACCAAAAATTCACCTATCGTTGTTGCATTTTTATCACGTGGTGGCAAACGTGGAACATCATTTTTCGGGTATCTAAAATAAGAAATGATTTGGAAAAAACATCAAGCATTCGGAAACAGTTGCACAGAAACACTCACATTGCATCTAATGGACGACGTGACGTTGAGAAGTTGCCAAAGTCAATCCCATCCAACCAGTTATTGTCCGCGAATGTCGGTATTCCAAAAAATGGTCCACATCCCGAAGCCTAAAACATTCAATTTAAGAATTTTTTGAAGCGACCCCTTTAAATAATTTAGCACATGCTTAGCTTCATAATAAGCAGAATAACATACTATTCGCAGCAGGACAAGAGTCCCATTAAAAGAGGCAGCAAACTCGTGTGTCGCTACAAGCGGATCGAGATGATCGGGCAGGGCTTGGAACGCGTTCCTAAAAAGCACGTCAACCCCTTCATCTTACAACAGGCATTTCATCAAGTTTAGAATAGACAGTAAATCAAAAATTATTAGCAAAAACTCACGATGTGGTGACAATCTTCTGGAGGAGTAAATCAAAATCGATGAGAAGAAGATTTTTGTTGGGTTTGCCCAAATCTTTCTCGTTTGAAACCATTAAGTAGATGCGCTAGAAGAAAAAGTTATTTTGAGTTGATTTGAAGCACTAACCCCTCCATGATCAAACATGTTGAGTTGTGTGTCGTAAAAGTGTGGCAGTACGTCGATAGGGATTCTCACATCGGTGTCGACAAGCTAAAAAACAAGTAGATAGCCGGAAATTGGACAATTATAAACACCTCTGCAGTTGGTATACCGGTATTCGGATCCATCTTGAGCATCAAATAGCGAAGCTGAAACTCGCGCATGTCACGAATGAGCACAAAAACATGTTCCCGATACTAAAACAAAATAGATGAACAAACAGCACTCGTTAAGCTACCTGAAAAAAGCTCGAGATCGTGGGATGTCGACGGAAACATTGATTTTCCGAATTCTGAAACTTGTCAAGTAAAAGCATGGAATACGAACAGTAATTATGCTTATAAAATCGATAAATATTTACCCCACAGAAAGAGTCGTTCGATGAGAAATTTACTGACTTTGAGAAGATCGCACGAAAACTGCTTAGTTGCAGCTTCACATAGCGAATTTGGTCAACTCTAAATGCACAAATGAGATGAACGTGCTAGGTACAGTGATTCGCTACTGAATCATTGTCGGGTCTAGAGGCGCTGCTCGAATGATGTCGGATCTGATTCTTGGTGGAAAGAAAATCTAAATCAAAAGATTGCAAAAGTTCAACAAAATCAGCTTACTTGTAATCGATCGCCAACAATTCGCACTGCAATTCGAATTTTTTTCTTGACAAAGCCCTCTTCTTCTTCGTAGAACTAAAAAGATAATTAGTTGAATAACAAGCGTGTTCAAAAAGATTTAGCAGACACTCATGTGTATAATAAAATTAGTTTATGAAATGAAGGTAAAAACTAACCACAGATGAATAGAAGAGTCGTAGCCCCTTGCAATTCGCTCCTCTTTGCAGTCCGAGCCATTCCGGTATACGACTTCCTTGATCCAAAATGACCGTTGAAGCCTAAAAATGACAAATTAGTATGCGAATAAGGTTTAACCAAGATTTACAAACTAATTCTTTCTTACCTTTTCTGCCGCCACAACGTCCGTCTCGTAGAAGTAGCACGCGTTAGTGATGCCGGCAACTAAAAAATCTCATTGTAGTCAAAAAGAGGGAAAAGAGACTTGCCTGAAATATTTGCGACGAGAGCGCTGTTTTTGTGGACTCCGATAAGGCACTTCTGGATGTCGTTTGTCTAAAATAAAAAGAGTTAGCTAAAGCTTTTCTTATTGAAAACCAAGAAAAGAAGCGCCGTAAAGCTTAAAAAGTTAAATCTTGATGGAATTTATGTTTCTACGCATTTTCCAAGCCAATGTAAGACCATGTTAAACCAAAATAAGATAAAAACAAACCTCAATCGCCTCGGACATGAGCTTACTGTAAGCCGTCACGCCGAAGTTAATAAAAAAGAATATCGAAAGAAACATAACCGATCAAAGTAGTGAATAAAAAGTGAATGATGATCAATTGAGGTTTCAGTTTCAATGTATGCTCTATTAAATGCAAATTTCGCGATACTGTTTCTTATCCGGAAGCGAGTTAGCCCTTAAAATCGTTTTTTATTCGGCTTTTCATCATTCCTCAAAATCGTTTCAGTTTCCTATTCGGAAGCGAATTGGCCTTCAAAATCGCTGAATATCTCGTTGGGACGATGCGATTTGAGCCCCGAGGAATGCAATGAGCAATATCAGTGAGTTGTTAGAAAGATCCAATCAAAATGAACCAAAAACTTTAGAGAAAACGGCGCCATGGTTGAAGTGTTCTTTGAACAGCTCAACTACGAGGTTTTCACCGAATCCGAAGCGTATGGGGTAAGTGAGACAATTGTTAGACTCTACAACAAAATACCATGCGATTTTTCAGGTCGTGAAAATGTTGGCCGATTTTGGAGGTCAATTGGGTCTTTGGTCGGGCGTCTCTTTCATGACCGTTTGCGAATTTCTCGGCCTTTTTTGCGAGTTAGCTTACATGGCAGCTCTGCATCATTACGCTATCCATAAGCGGAAAGTTTGGGAAAAACAAATGGCAAAAGAGAAATATTAAGATCGAAACAGACGATAAATTTTTGCACACCGAATTTCACAAACAACTTTTTATTGTAAAATGAAGAGCACAACCATTTCAAAACGGCATCAATCAACAAATCAACAAGAACAAAAAAGTTCGATAAATTATTTGTACAGTATAAACAACGTAGTAACTAAATCACAAGTATCTATGGACATTATTGCAGAACTCGACAAAGAAACGTTTCAATAGTAATGCAAAATATTAAGACTTCAAAGAATAGAGATAAGTCAACTAAAGAAACGCATATAATGGTAAAGATAAAACACAAAACTGGTAAAGTATTCTTAAGTGAAAGATACGAAATCTAGGATTTAGATGTAACAATAACTGGTAGCCTCTTCTTTTCCATCAAAAGCCGGATCTGCTTGAGATGGGGTTTCCACATGCTGAACTTCTTGATAAAGTGCTTCCAATTGCAAGGAGATTTCACCGAAAATCTAAAAAGCAAATTTTGAAAAATAGAGTTGAAATTCCTTATCAAAGACATTCTTCAAAATAATACCTGTTTGTCGCAAAGATATCGATAATATGTGCAGACTGTTAGTAGACCAAAGAGGATAGGGACCAGGCAGCACATCAGTATTATCGATTTGTAGAGGGCAAGCGAATGAGATGATTGTTGCCAAAAGAGAGCACCATTCAAGGCAATCTAAATTTAAAAAAAATGGTTTTAAAACAAAGCCAATAAAGATTTACCTGCTCAAAGATGTTGACCACCATAGAACTAGTCGAAATCACAAAAAGTAGGAGACAGTCGGCCCTAAAGGAAACAAAATTTACAAAATGATTAAAAGATTTTAGATTTAGCTCTGGTTTTATTGTAAACTTACATAGTACCAGTGCGAGCAACGTGAATGAGCAAAACGAGAAACAGCGCGTGGATCGAGACGGCGATGAGCTGTGCTTTGAGGAGTCGAAAGGTCCATGCTCGAAATGAACGCTCGTCACTCGAATCTTCCTAAAGTGAACAAATAAAGAAATATTTCCAAATTAACATACCAGCTCAAATTTCACGTAGAAGCTCAAGAGAGCGATGTAATACAAAGTGACGAGAAGTAGTTGTCCAATCCCGATCCACAGTGTTGCCTGAAAAGAGAAAACAATCATCAATCAAAACAACCAAATAATTTTGAACCTTAAACAACCCTTGTTAAAAGTAAATCAAAATTCCGTTTTTAAACTTTACAATAGTTAATACAAACAGTTTTTGCGTGAACACGCCCACGAAGCATTCGATATTTGTCGAGATTCGGATCCCATATTGAGCCATTTCGAATGCACTCCAGACTCGTTTCGAACGTCATTTAGCTGAAAAAAAGTAAACATTAATACTCTTGATAGCAGACTGAAAGAAAATAAACAAACACAAGAATATTATGAGGAAAATTCGGCTTCCGCTTGTCACCTACAAGCTTTGAGCTCATGACGAAAATATGCAGGAACACTTGCAAGCTTGCAATTAACATTTAATAGGTACCAAATTTTAATGCCTTTTTAAACACGCTGTCATCGCATCCTAAATCTCATCGTTTACCTCGATTTTTCTCAACCCGGCGCCATGTAAGTTTTTTCTTTTGTTTTAGCATAAAAACTTTTATCATCGAGTTTATTGAGCGGCTCGTTGCGAAAGAAAAAGTTGCCCTTTGCATTAAAAAAACCCCAATCGACCTTTCAAAACAATAACCCACTCTTTCAAAAACACGATTTTGTTTAGAAAGCTTTCTCTATCAACTATCAACTATCAATCACTCGTCAGATCATTAATTCATCGAAAGCTCCACCAGTGATTGGACCTTACAGGTATTGATTTCGACTTTTTCCCAAATTATCTTATTTTTAGTCAAGCAGTTCGTGTGAATGACTCATTATACCTGTTCGGCTCATTGGGATTACATCCAGAGAAAGGGGTAGACTATCTCTAACTTCTTCACATAATTGACGATTACTCGATTATGGCATTGGTCGATGGTGTAGTGAAAGAACAAAAACCAAAGTCTTCGGAACAGTGAAGTTCTTAAGACGGCCGGAATCGACTACAACAATGGTAGGTTTTACCTAAACAATGTGGGTAAATGTTGCTCGTTTTTAGTGGTGAAAACGACAGTTTTTCTTGCGGATATCTACGACTACAACGGTGAATGAAATCTACAGAGTATTTCAAGGATAATTTTCCAGCTCGTGCCGGTTATCAGGTTATTTTGGGAAAGAAACATTTTTAAATCTCTCATTTTAGGTCGCCGTTTTACCAAAGAATGCCTTAGTGGAAATCGAAGCGATCGCTACGATTGGAAAAATCGTCGATAAAGCCAAAGGCCGTGCCTGTCCGAATGTTAAAGTTGGAAGTATCAATAGCAAGATTATTTACGCACCAAAGATTTTGTATTCGAAATAAAGCTTTTATTCTTTCAAAAATAAACAAAAAACAAACAAACTATCGACAAGCAACTTACTCATGACCTTAAATACAACAAAAAAAATGTTAATAAGCGATATAAATTGATTTAATTCTTGATATTGGCGGAGCGAATTTCTAGACGCATCTCGATGAGACTCTTGCTGAGCTGAGACTTTACTTCGGCGGCCGAATTCATAATTGCTTCTCGCGTTTCCGTTGGCACATTGAATGGATCGGTTCGTTGGATGACTCGTTGTTTCTGTTGGGCGGCTCGTCGCAATGCATTCACTCGATCCATGGCTTGAACAACTAAACAATCGTTTTGGATTCATTTAGAAGTAATGGCACCTAATTTTGAAATCTAAACTACGGTCTAAATAAGATTTAGAGCTCGCATAGTTTACTTTTAAAAAATAAGCATGAACTCTCACTTTTCTTATCGATCTCAGCACATGTCTTAACCAATTGTCGGTCTTCTTCGCTTCGATCAATTGTCTAAATTTCATGTTTGCATTTTAATTAAAAGAAACTAACCTGCAATTCAAACAAGCGCATAACTTCATTGAGTGAGTCGGTAAATTCTCCTTCAAAACTTTCTCCAGCCACAACGAGTTGCTCTTGAGTCTAAAAACGCGATAATTTGTGAAATCAAGTTTACCAGATTTACCTTTTTGTTGAGCGAATCGCAAGCCTTTTGCAGTGAATCTTCCATTTGTGTGGAACTAAAAAATTTTCAGTTATAAAGCCTCTAAAAACAACTAACCTCTTTACTCTAGCTGCAAGATGACTCTCGAGCTTCTTCAAACATTCAATATCGTTCTTCACCTCGACTTGTCGTAGCTCCAGCGCGGCTTGTTGAGCGTTTTCTAAACAAATAAATCATGAATAATTTTAATATCCTTTTTATACACTTTGATTATTACGAGGAATGTAAGTATGAGACAACAAAAAGTTACTGCTTTGCATTTGTTGAATGAGACCCGTCAAAGTCGCTTCAGATTCTCGAAGTTCCTCATCCGATTTCTTGCTCATGGAGACTAAATAATGATTATCATCGAATCGAAAAATTTTGCCGCTAAAATAGTCAACAAAAGAACAAAAGTTCTGGTCTGGATATGGTTATAAGATATCTTCTAATAGCAATCATTAGCTTCTTTCGCAATCTCACATAGTTAACAAATACAAATCGTTACCGATAGCCGCTTTAATCGCTTGCCAATCCTTTGTATAGCTGTCGAGCAGCCTTTTCTCGTCGATTCCATCACGGTGACCGCTGTTTCGTGGTTGAGAGCCCATTTCAGTCGTTTCTAAAATAAACCAATCATAAAATTAATCGGGAAGAAACAAAAAAAGAGAGAAAGAACCTCAAAGAATCACCAAAAACCCTTAAATGCTATAACTAACCGATATTTTTGGAGCACTTAACTTAAAATAAACCATTAAACTAAAAATCTCTTAAAGAGCGCACTTTTGTATAAAAAAGGTAGAAACAAAGTAAAATCGAACACTCTTTCAAATCACAACAGATAAATTTCTTGACTTACCAAGTCATTTTTGTGTCTCATTTCTACCACGATTTAGAAAATAGTTTTTAACTGGATTACTGTACCTATCCGACACCCCAAACCATATTGACTTTGCAGAGGTTCTCAAATGTGAGCTCGTGGCCTAGTTGAAATTCTGATGTAAACTTTAAGTTCAAATATCTCGAGATTTTAGCACCTTCATCCCCAAACGACCTAGATATTCAGAATCAGCGCAAAAAACTGCCCTAGAAAAAGTTTGTATCGACCCAAAAGGCGCGTGCAAAGCATCCCTAGTGAGGGAAATTTATCCGTTTATGCAAAGAAATTTATCCGTTTAAAAATATTTCAAATATGCACAAGATAACGTACTTTTAAATATAGAAAGACATTTTAAAAGTTTCTCTCACAACAATAAGTTTAGCAACGCTTGTTTAGATCCGAACAACCTAATATATATAAGGCTGTCATTTGAATACTTTTCATTTCAGAATACTGTAACCAGAGATTTACAGTGCCTACAGGAATGGAGATAGCTTAAAGTACGTCCCGCAACAAATCCCGAAACTTCTTTTCTTCGGCCATTTTCTCGGCATACTTTAGCCAGAGCTTTATAGTATTTTTCAAGTGTTTATTGCTCAAAAATTCTTACATACAACTATTAGGGTGGTGCAAAAGAAACTGCCGATGGGTATCAGCTCTCATTTATCAGAAACGAGCGATGCTAACGGCATTATTTTTTTGATGTTTTGTTCGCATATTTGTTTGCTATTTATTTCGACATTTGAATTTTTTGGTTGTTGTTTATTTTATTTAAAAATGCTTATATTTTTTATTTAGATCATGGTCGAGCAAAAGTTTGTGCTAGGAGCAGCACTACTGTTTAACTTCAAGATTGGAAAGTCTGCTGCCGAATCGCATCGTTCTCTCTGTGCTGCTTTCGGAGATAGCAGTTTGTCTCTCAGGCAGTGTCAGACTTGCTTTCAACGATTCCGAGAGGGAGACGAGATTACGAGATTACGATTACGAGATTATTGGAAGATTACGAGCACGGTTCAAGGCCAGAAGTCGTGAACGAAGCCAAGCTGAGGGACGTTATTCAGGCCAATCCATGCCAATCTGCTCGAAATCTTGCGAAAATATTCCATTGTGATCATGTCATCATCGAATGCCATCTTTTTTTTGAATTTACCGTCAAATCGGCAGTTTCTTTTGCACCACCCTAATAGAAGTAAGTCTAATTTTGAGTAAAATTTCAGAACAATGAATCAAACGGTAGTAATAGACTTGGCTGTCGGAGTGGTGGCGTTAAAACGGACATATCTTTGTGAACGTAGCTTCAAATGTACTGAAAATTTTACCAATGAAAAGTCAAAAGTTTAAGCTTCATTTTGGTATTTAATACGTTAGAAGAAAGAAGAAATATTAGAAGAAAAACGTATCTCAAAAAACCTTATCGAAGATTAGATCGATTATCGATAAGGACTCGATAAGGTTTTTAGAGCTGTGTTTTACGTGCTCTTCTAAGTATTAGAAGCTTGAACTTTGACTTTCAAATGGTGAAACTTTTTATATCATTTGAATAGTTTTGTACAAAGTTATAAGGTTTGTTTTGCACGGCTACTTTAAAAATATTTATAGCCAAGGTTAGATCGCCAAGTCTAGATCGCTAAGGGAGACTTTAAACCATCTATATTACAGTATTTTTATTCGTTTTTCATAAACGGGTAAATAAATAAATATTTATTTCTTTATCTTTGCATAAATAAGAAAATATTGCTTTGGGAAAGTTTGAGTGAACAAAGCGAGCATCAAAGCAAACCCGTTTTTATGAGAAAGACCAATCAAAAGTTATTGTGACAGAAAAACAAAAGAAAAATGAAGAAAAGCAATGGCGGTGGTGCTAAAAATTGTAATATTGACAAGTTTTTAAAAAGGAAAGCTTACATTGACTCTATTAGAAGGACTTTTGTAAGAAATGAAATCAGTATTAATTCGAAAACAGTATTAATTCGAAAACAGTATTAATTCGAAGCCAGTAAGAAATCTCTAATTTTTCCTCTTGAATCAAACTTTTCTTAAAAGATGGCAACTTTCAAACTACCGTAATCTTGTCTGTTTTTCATTCAATCATTCAAAACTTTAGCTACTTTAGACGTACTTTTGACGTACTTTAGATGTACTTTAGATGTACTTTAGACGTTTTAGATGGTACTGTAGGGTCATTACAGCTCGTACAAATGTCCTTCTAACAGAGTGCCAAGAAATCCGGATCTATTTCACATTTTCCCTCCATCCATATCCAATGAGCGAGTCCCACATTTGCGCTTCTCTTCGCATTTCCGCGTCTTCATCACTTTTCTTCGCTCTCCTCATTGTGGCGCTCTTTTGTGGTTTTCTCGGTTCTTGTTCTCGCCAAGTCACATCGTAATTTGGAGAATTTTTCTTTGATCTAAAATATTTAAAAGTTTAGATTGGCTGATTTACAGGTGGCAGAATTATTGGATTATTGCAACTAGAGATTATTGAAACTAGAGATTATTGCAACAACTAGAGATGCTTTTGAACTTATTAGATTCTCCCATAGCTCTCTTCTTCTTCCCAAACCCAGAGATTTTTCTTTTCATTAGTACTCGCTTACAATAAAGTTGTCTTTTGTCTTTTTTCCTTTTTCATGTTAAAACTTTCTTCTTTCTTGCACTAATATTCATTTTTTAGGGATCGACACGAGAAGAGAGTTGCAATCGATCGAATGAAGGCAACTCGAGAAATCCACGCCCTATTGCTTCAACTTGCTTCAAAAGGGATTTCAGCAGCCAAAGCAGCACGAGAAATCAATTAATTTTATGGCAACAGAGCAATCGATCGAATGAAGCCAACTCGAGAAGAAATTCACGCCCTACTGCTTCAACTTGCTTCAACTTGCTTCAACTTGCTTCAAGAGGGATTTCAGCAGCCAAAGAAGCACGAGAAATCAATTAATTTTATGGCAACAGAATCGTTGAAGAGAGCTGCAATCGATCGAATGAAGCCAACTCGAGAAATCCACGCCCTACTGCTTCAACTTGCTTCAACTTGCTTCAAGAGGGATTTCAGGGGCCAAAGCAGCATGAGAAATCAATTAATTTTATGGCAACAGAATCGTTGAAACGAGTACTGCATAGGAATGGTTTCACAGATTCAAGTTGGGTAACAAGAGGAGTAAACGGAAAAGGGGAAGCGGTCGACCCCCGGAAAGTGGATTGATCGATTCTGAGGCACCGACTCCTGCGGAATCCCGATGGATCAAAAAATTGGTTGAACTTTACCGTAGACGAATGACTGTGTAGCGATGGCTGTGAAAAGTGAGAAGAAATTGGAGAAAACAAACGCCAAATCCCATACGAAATGTCGGAAACAGTTCAAGCAAAAAGAAAGCGAACATGGCACCACTTGTGAAGCGAATGCCGGCATTTTATCGTCGAGATTTTAGTGTAAACTTTGAAATTTGAAATCTCAACTCACCCGCAAACTCGTTCCCATTTCCTTTGCACCGCCGCCGCGCACCGTCATATAAAATTATTATCGCTTTTCATGCTTTCCGTCATGATTGTCACCACTCGAGGACTGGAATTATCCCATTTTTATTTTGAGATCTGATCTAATTCGTTCTAATTAATGATCTAATTAATGTTCAAAAGCCTATTTACACTCAAAATGACTATGCAAATAAAGCAAACAAATAAAAAATGCATTTTAAAGCGCCGATTTTTGTTGATTTTTGTTGATTTTCGCTGATTTTCAATAATTTTTTTCTAAGCGCTGGTTAATGCTAAAAATAAGTGTTATAGCTTAAAAAATCACCCATTCTCTCTACTTTAATGTGATACCTAAACGCATAGAAACAAACGTACTGATGTCAAGATATGGGCGCTTGTTTGAGAGTAAACTTAAGTGACGAGCTATGGCTACACGACACTCCTATAGGGACGACGCGCTCCGACGCGACGCTCGTAAATATTCTTCGATCAGAATATTCTTCTATCAGAATATTTACAGTATGTTATGCCCGACTTGGAATTACGTTCAATAAAGAATTAAACGAAATTCTAAATCGGATCTAGCGTATATGTCGTAGCCGATTATGAATGAGTGGGTCTAGGAGCGTCCAACCATCAAGTATTTAGTATCATTCAACGCAGAATCATTAATAATTATGTTAAATTTTTAAAATTAGAAAGATTGGATAAAAAGGAAAAACATTATGGGGCTTCAAAGTTTTCTCTTGAACAAACCGTTTTTTTGCTCTAATTTTTTTTCTTTTTATCCAATCTTTCTAATTAAAAAAATTTAACATAATTATCAATGATTCTGCGTTGAATGATACTAAATACTTGATGGTTGGACGCTCCTAGACCCTACGACATAGACATTTAGAGTCGAAAATGTACCCACTTGACCATCGTTGGCTTTTTCATCCTGAAATGTTGCTCTTTCACCTCCTCGAACTCCTCAAATTCACGCCAGTTTCGCTCTCGAAACTCCTGCAAAGCCTTTTATCATCTTAAATCATCTTAAATCATCTCATCTTTTATCATCGTTTTTATATAGCAAAACTTCTCCACACCTGCCATAAGCACTTGAGCACTTGAACGACGACGAGATCACCCGAATGGTTTGCCATCATTCGCAGAATGAAAACCTGAACTTGGTTCGAGTTTTCATCGCTTTCTCTCTTTGTTCTCGTATTCTTTTCTTTACTCTTGCCGTATTTCTTGCCACAGTATGCCTAAATACTCCTAAGCCTGAACCTCAGCCTGAACCTCAGCCTGAGTCTCAGCCTGAGCCTCAGCCTGAGCCTCAGCCTGAACCTCAGCCTGAGCCTCAGCCTGAGTCTCAGCCTGAGCCTCAGCCTCAGCCTGAGCCTCAGCCTCAGCCTCAGCCTCAGCCTGAACCTCAGCCTGAACCTCAGCCTGAGCCTCAGCCTGAGTCTCAGCCTGAGCCTCAGCCTGAGCCTCAGCCTGAGCCTGTGTTTTACTGTAAAAGAGATACTATAAGCTAGACTCTTTGCTACCAAGTTACCGTACTAGACTAGCTCACAATTAGACTACTAGATCACGTACTAGACCCGATGATTTCACTGTTTTATTGACTTTAGACATATCATAGTTTCATTCTAATCTAGAACTGATCGATAAACAAATCCTTTACCCCATCCGATTTCAAGAAATGTGTGACGAAGCGGTCGAGGAGTTGTGGCGCGAATGGGATCACCGAAAAGATACGCTCAGCCGGTAAAACCTGAAAATTGAATACACCGTTCAGGGGAAAAGGCTTTCGACACAAAATTTTCCATTTTTTCGATTTTATCAACTCAATGCCATTGGCAATCCAACTTTAAACTTCAATATCTTGGTGTAGAGTTGTCCAATTTGAATCTTCTTAGTATCATTAGATGCGCCAAGTCCTTCTCTGTCGATTAGTATAAAAACTATTTCAATTGAACAGCTGTACACCAAGATTCAATTCGCTGACCCCGAAAACCCCTAGGTACAAATTTACAGCTGAATATCTTTTTGTGCCATTTACAAGCCTTATGTACCGTATTTCTTCGAATAGAAGACCGGGTAAAGAGTATGATCGCGTACTCCTGCGTAGCAGCCCTTTTTAAAATTTCTTTTCTGCATAAAAGCTTTCAATCAAGTGCTATAGAGCTGGAAAATGACTCAAAAATACCACATGAGCTAACAGATTTTTGAGCCATTTTCCAGCTCTATAGCACTTATTGAAAGCTTTTATGCAGAAAAGAAATTTTAAAAAGGGCTGCTACGCAGGAGTACGCGAGGATACTCTTTACCCGGTCTTCTATTCGAAGAAATACGGTACATAAGGCTTGTAAATGGCACAAAAAGATATTCAGCTGTAAATTTGTACCTAGGGGTTTTCGGGGTCAGCGAATCGAATAGAGCCATTCATTTTATTGATTCAATCAATTAGCACTCGGGGGTTTAATTCAAATTAAGATATTGCTAAGATGTTGCTAATTAAGATGTTGCTCAATGCTCAATGCTGAATGCTGAAGGCTCAATTAAGCTGTTGCTCAATGCTCAATGCTCTCAATGCCCAATGCTCAATGCTCTCAATCCTCAATGCCCAATGCTCAATGCTCTCAATGCTCTCAATGCTCAATGCTCAATGCTCTCAATCCTCAATGCTCTCAATGCTCAATGCACAATGTAGAAACTTGAAAATCGAGGTTGAATATGGAATAGCTGGTAAGCTAAAACTAAACTGGTAAACTAATACTGGTAAACTAAACTAATACTTCTCTAGATCAGTAAATCCATGATCGAACAAACTTTATTCGGCTCGATAAACTTCATCTCTTTCCTCTTGTCAGCACACTGCGCAATCTGCATATACTTCACGATGTAGTCGATTTTTTCCGTGTGTATGCATATGTTCAAGATCCAGAAAAGTGCGGAGAATCTGGATAATTGAATATTTGATCATTGAATGTGAAAATAGAATCGATTAATTGAAACTCAATTAAAAACTATATCTAAAACTATCTAAAACTATCGAAAACTCACATAGTAATGCATAAAATGAGCAGATACCAGCACCAAAAGAAAGCGAATACTTTCTCGTTGATGATATTGATGAGAAGAGCGCACTGGACAGTATATCTGCAAGGAAACTTGGTTCTTTTAATTATCTAGATCTTAATCTACAGAACTAATAGCCATATTTCTCCATTTCTAGATATCTAAACATTTACCGGTTCAAATTCGCTAAATATCGAACTTCGAAGTCGCAGAGGGTCACCCTGGGAAAGTGGCCAGTTTCAGTCCACGGCCGGCCAGCTACCAAATCGTTTAGAACCTAAAGGAGAAAATTTTAATGTCAGATATGAATTCTATTTATGTAAAAGATATCTAAAAGCTATCTAAAGCTATCCAAAGCTATCTAAAGCTATCTAAAAGATATCTAAAGATATCTAAAGCTATCTAAAGCCATCTAGAGCTATCTAAAGATATCTAAAGCTATCTAAAGCTATCTAAAGCTATCCAAAGCTATCTAAAGCTATCTAAAGCTATCTAAAGCTATCTAAAAGATATCTAAAAGCTATCTAAAGCTATCTAAAGCTATCCAAAAGCTATCTAAAGCTATCTAAAGCTATCTAAAAGCTTTTTAGTCAATTATACAGGGTGGCTGAAAATTACGTGCGCGCAGCATCTGACATAGTTTTAAACAATGTATAAAGCATTACTACTCAACTTTTTGTGTTTTAACATTCTTTTTATCGTTGTCTATTAATTTTTTGTTAAAAAAGTTGTTTTCTAGGTCATGACAAAGACGTGCGCTAGTCGGGACGCAATCGCACAGCTGGCGACGAGCGGCATGAAGAACTCGTCGATCGCATCGAGGCTTGGGGTGGCTCTGAGGACCGTCCAGAAGATCGTAAAGCAATGGAAAGATGAGGGGCATATTCATTCCAAACCCGGAAGAGGACGAAAGAGGACCGTTAACACCGACGATCCCACAAAGATGCGTGGGATCATCAAGAGGAGGATCGAGCGAGAAGACGATTGTAGTTTGAACAAGATGGCAAAACAGCTTCAAATTTCGCGTTTCTCGGCTCAATCGATAGTGAAAAATGAGCTCGGACTTCGAAGTTATCGATTGTTAAACGGGCAAGTGCTCACCGATCAAACCAAGCAAAACCGGAAGGAGAAATGCAAGAAATTGCGAGCTTTTTTCAAGTTGCGGCGCATTGACGATGTTCTTTGGTCGGAGGAGAAGATTTTCACCTTGGAAGTGGCTAAAAATTCACAAAATCACCGTCAACTTGTTGTAGCCTGGCTCTCAGCTCCCAGCTCTCAAGAGCACTCGCAATAGTAAAGGTATAGTAAATCTGTGGTCTAGTTTTCAACCAGAACTAGCAAACTTGTACTCACCGTGTACCGTCCAATCACCGTGTACTTTGTGCACTTGCAAACGGGGATCTTTTTGCAGACTAGAAAAACTAGACCCTTTTTATCATTCCTCATAAGAATAAGTATTAAAATCACTAAAAAAAAGGAACCAGTGTGCTAGAGGATGTGCGTTTATGAGAGCACAAAGTAAACGCGAAAACTACAGCGCAAAATCAACCCTTTTTCTTCTTTGTACTGTCTTTGTACTGGTAATTTGTACTCAAACAAACGCACACCTTCCGGCATACTCGATTCTTTATTTGAAAGAATTATCAATGAATCAAGTACACCAGAAAGTGTGCATTTATACAGCACAAAGCACGGAGCACAAAGCACGGAGCACAAACCACGGCCTTACCTGAAAGCCAAACAAGAAATATTGATCATTCTTCAAGCAAGCATTCAGTATCCCAAATTGAAGTCCAATATTGATAGCATAGAGAATCTTCGTGGCCACATAAAGGATTGATACGTATTGACCGGATAATAATCTGAAAGCGAAAGATTTTCTTTATATTCTTCTTTATCTAATCATTTTCACCTATTGCATTTCAGTCTGCCGATCAAACTTCGTTGCGGCAATTCTCGGTCAGAACCCTGCAGATCGATTGTGTCGATGAAGCTGGCGGCTAGGGATTCGATCTGAATTGAGCTATTCTTTCTTCAGATCATTATCCAGCCAATACTAACCAGTTGTTCAACTAAATTTTGATCTAATAGAGTATAAAAGGGTCAATTGTTCTTGATCTTGGGTCTAGGCTGGGTCTGGGTTCAAGATCATGTTCAGGCCCAGGGTTTTTGCCGTCCCAACGTTTTTGGTTTTGCCGTCTCTAAATTTGGTTCCTTATCTCTCTAAATTTGGTTCCTTATCTCTATAAATTTGGTTCCTGATCTCTCTAAACTTGGTGCCTTTTCTCCCTGCATTTGGTTCCATATCTCTCTAAATTTGGTTCCTTATCTCTCTAAATCTGGTTCCATATCTCTCCAAATTTGGTTCCTTATCTCTAAATTTGGTTCCCTATCTCTCTAAATCTGGTTCCTTATCTCTAAATCTGATTCCCTATCTCTCTAAACTTGGTGCCTTTTCTCCCTGCATTTGGTTCCTTATTTCTCTAAATCTGGTTCCTTATCTCTCTAAATCCGGTTCCTTATTTCTCTAAATCTGGTTCCATATCTCTCTAAATCTAGTTCCTTATCTCTCCAAATTTGGTTCCATATCTCTCTAAACTTGGTGCCTTTTCTCCCTGCATTTGGTTCCTTATCTCTCTAAATCTGGTTCCTTATCACTCTAATCAATTTGACAAAAACAAATGATTTGAAAATGAAAAGAAACGACGACGCGGCGCTCCCATCGACTACCTCCAAATGGCGGCGACGTCAATTGGAATGCGACGTCGCGCGAAAATTTTGTTTTTGTCATTAATTTGGTTCCTTATCTCTCTAAATCTGGTTCTAGTTGGTTAAAAACCAGTTTTTTAATTATAAAAGCTGATATTCTTTTGTGGACATTTTTTATCGATTTTCAAGCCCTTAGCTTTTATCCATTTAGCTTCTTACTATTTATAGATACTTTAAAAACACCTAAAAAATCGTTTTAATGCTTTAACAAAAAAGAAAAAAGGTTTTTACAGTGACCAGGACCAAAATTAAAGGGAATTCGAACAAGGGACAAAGGGACAAATCGACGAACACACAATCCGCTACACCATTCGATCACTGCCTAAGCAAGGCAAGTATTCGGCAAGGCAAGGCGCTAAATCCAATATACGGTGGCCAAAAGTGTTTCCAAAAAGTCCCCAAACTTCAAAAGCATTTTTCTCGAAACTGGAGTAAAACTGAAAAACATTTCCCTTAGAATTTCAAGGCGTCCTAGGCTTTCAAGGCGTCTGTGCTAGGTCCTATATCCTAAATCAATGCTAAGTTGAAGCAGTTCCCAGTTCTCCAACGGTTTCTGTATTCAAATTTCTGCAGTTGCTCAGAAGTTTAGAGTCGTGCCAAAATGAATCCGGGAAAGGATCAAGCAAAAGAACAACTTAATGGCTGAAAGAGAGGCTAAAAGGGAGGCTGAAAGGAAAAATTGGCGGATTTTCGCGGGTCGGCGATTGTGAAAGCATGAGACGAATTGCCCGTACAAAGAAAAAGAAGTCCTGAACCCTGAACCTAGATCATAGAAGGTCTGGAGTTCTATCAGTGAGGCAAGTATAGGCTTATAAGAAGCCCTGGGTCTGGATTAGGGTTCTAAGTCAAGCATAACAAATACTGGGCTTAGATTCTGGACCATAAACATAGAAGAACTATAGGTGTTCGCTAGGTAAGGGTTAGTGGACCCGCTAGATAAGGGTTAGTGAACCCGGTAGATAAGGGTTAGTGAACCCGCTAGATAAGGGTTAGTGAAGCCAGCTAGATAAGGGTTAGTGAACCCGCTAGATAAGGGTTAGTGAACCCAGCTAGATTAACCCTTCGCCATGGTGTACTTTGTGATCATCTCTGTAAACGCACACTTTCTTTTGCACTCTTTACTTACAGCTTTTTCCCGTTGCGAGTGATCGACGATGGCGTTGATGTCGCAAGCGGAGTTGATCAAATGTTGGATGTTTAGGCCTGGAATTGAATTGAAGTGTTTAGCAAAAGTTGTTAAATGAATATCTTCAAATTTAAAGTATAGAAAATCACCCGATTGCCAACTCAAGAGTCTCCAGAAAATGCACGGCAACGAGAACATCAACGCCTCGGCAATCAAAATGAAAGGCACCCATTGATAGTAACCGATTTGCTTTTCTGAAAAGTGATTACTGTAGCCAAGTTTATTGTAGCCAGGTTTATATGGCCAGGTTTATTGTAGCCAAGCTTATTCTAGCCAGGTTTATTGTAGCCAAGTTTATTGTAGCCAAGCTTATTCTAGCCAGGTTTATTGTAGCCAAGTTTATTGTAGCCAAGCTTATTCTAGCCAGGTTTATTCTAGCCAGGTTTATTGTAGCCAAGTTTATTGTAGTTTTCCCGAAATGGGGCACGTTTTAGAAAGCGGATTAGAGCAGAAGTGGACGTCTAGAAAGCACTTCAGCTAGATACTCTGACTGCTCAAAGAAAGCGCAACAGAATTTGAATAAAAACTTGGAATTAGGTACAGAATTGGTACAGAATTTGTAATCAGATTTCCTCTTTAGCTCAATCCATTACTAACCCTCTCTCGCCGTGTGATCATCGGGAATATTCTCGAACATTGGCACCCAATACGTATTCTGAATCCAGCAATAGCTCTCGATGTACTCTTCCATGCTCTCTCGCGAATGCGGATTCACCCAGCACTCGATCGGCGTACCGCCATACTAAATTTCAAGATGTCCATTTATTATATCAAAAGCAAAATGGCAAGTTTTGTTTTGCACTCTATACAAATCAACTGCAATGCAATGTAAAATTTAATATCATTCGAAAGCTCTTTCCTTCCTCTATCTTTTAGTAAAAAAAATTTACAGCTAAATGTTTAACGGGAAGAAAGTTACGACCATATGTAGTCTGACATTTCGTCATTTTTGTAGTTTTTAGGCGCCGATGTCTAGTCTGAGACTGGATTACTTGATGCCTGCCTTGATCATAAAAGTTTTCTAGTCCAGGTCATGGCTCATTCCTGACATGGAGCATGGCCTAGTTTGACAGCAGTAATATAGTTTTTTATGAAATTTTTATCTAGAAATGAATCCTCCAATCGATTCTCCGAAAATTTCCCCTAGAAATGAATCCTCCAATCGACCCCGAAAACTCCCGGGCACAAATTTACAGCTAAATATCTTCTTTTTGAGTTATCTCCAAAGCAAAAGAAGAATCACTGTAAATGAGTGGCGAGATGTTCTTTGTGCGATTCTGTTTCCATTCGTCCCCTGGGTTACAGGTGCTTCTCTTTCCTTCCCGCTTTATGTCCCCTTATAGACGAGGTGGCGGCTTGTCGAAATTGGCTCAGAGTAGCGCGGTGTTCTTAATGAGAACCAAATAGGAACTAAATACGAACCAAATAGGAACCAAATAGGAACCGAATACGAACCGAATACGAACCAAATAGGAACCGAATAGGAATCGAATGGAAACCAAATAGAAACCAAATAGGAACCGATAGGAACCAAATAGGAACCAAATAGGAACCAAATGGATCGCGCCGGAGTCGAACCATCGACCTTCAGATCATCGCTTTCAGAGCTCTAAAAAGGGTCGAGGGTAGAAAGTCGAAAGTTCGACTCCGATTTTCGAGATGATAAATTTAACCTCACCTCAACACAAAATTTATCGCTTAAAACAATACTTTCAATCAATTTGACAAAAACAAATGATTTGAAAATGAAAAAGAAACGACGACGCGGCGCTCCCATCGACTACCTCCAAATGGCGGCGACGTCAATTGGAATGCGACGTCGCGCGAAAATTTCTCTTTCGTCATTACGTCGGCGTCATTATGCTCAAATTTTTCGAGTATTTTTTAAATTTGGCTGTATTTTTGCCACAAATTCTTCATCTCTCTAAACCAAAATTAGCATTTTTGCAGTTCTTTCGCTTTGCAGATAACTCAAAAAGATATTGAGCTGGAAATTTGTATCCGAGGGTTTTCGGGGCTGCGGAATCGATTGGAGATATTCATTTTATTGAGTCTATTTCTTAAGAACTCGGGTTTAATTTCGATTTAATACAATAAGAAAATTTATCCATTTCTACAGAAAAAAAAAACGTTTTTTTTATTACTGTCGATAGTTGGTTTCAGTGGGAATCGGTCTTCATTTTGATTTGTGCTTTGAAATGAAACACTCTGAATGTCGTTCGTCGTTTACCTGTTTCGCGCTGATGATCAAACAAGCGATACTCAACATGATCGGCGTGTAGTAGTAATTTAAACGATCCACAAAATCGTCATCTCCTCTAGAATTTGATGTTTGGAACCGTATTGGAACCGTATTGGATTAAAAAAGGAACCGTATTGGATTAAAAAAGGAACCGTATTGGATCAAAATAGGAACCGTATTGGAACCATATTGGAGCCATATTGGAGCCATATTGGAACCGTATCCGAACCATATTGGAACCATATTGGAACGATATTGGAACCGTATCCGAACCATATTGGAACCATATTGCAACCGTATTGGAACCGTAGCCGTATTGGATCAAAAAAGGAACCGTATTGAAACCATCTTGGAACCATATTGGAACCGTATCCGAGCCATATTGGAACCATATTGGAACCGTAGCCGTATTGAATCAAAAAAGGAACCGTATTGGATCAAAATAGGAACCGTAAAGTTCGTAAAGAAAATTTCGCATATCAAATGAAATAACCGGCTTTTTTGGGGTCTTCTCCGTTTCTCAGAGAGGTTCAAACTTCAACTCAGAGAGGTTCAGAGGTTCAATAGAGCTTCAACTCCTTGTTTACCGTATATACTTACAAAAGTTATCTAAATCTAATTAATCAATAATCTAGTTAATCAATTATCTAATATCTACAAATAATCGAAAACCTTTTTCGTCCACAAACCTTAAGGAGAGAGCGTTGATAAACGAACGGGCCAAAGTGGCATGGAAGAACATGTCTCCC